ACAGCAGCTGTAATGTTTGAAAAGCAGATCATTCATTGTACTACTCACAATTTTTTTATTAGGAACTATATCTTATTTCAGAAGTATCCAATGAAATTTACATAAATACATAAACTACAACAAGATAAAATAACATAGCTAAAGGAGAAAGAGAAAAATTGGACAAAGGAAAATTGAATGTAGGAAAGATAAGCTGTCCTGGGAGTGAGGCTCACATACCAAATAAATGCATTCCATAAAAGTCTATAGATTTACTAGAGGTAGGTCAGAAGTTTGGCTCTTAACACTTCTAGCAGTCAACAAATACAGGATGACCCAATCAGTTATATGATTCAGCATCTTTAAGATAAAAACAAAAAAGTATTAGACTGCTATTTCTCCCTTGGTCCTCATAAAGAAGATACTACATAATGTAACAAATAAAGTTCTCAACAACATCCTTGCAGTTGATTTGTCAGAGAGCTTTGGAAGACATTCTTCATAACAACCCTCACAGGCAAATGACAGCCCACAAATCAATAAATGCACATAACAGATACCAAGGCAGGAGGGCCAAGGATGGGTCCAGGTAAACAGTTCCTTGCATATCTAGATTCATCAGAAACAGATTTTATTCTATCCAGACTAACCTGAAATCCAGAAGCTTCATGTGTCCGCTTGTCTTTGAAATTATAATAAAATTTGATGTGCATGTCTATTTTTCTGGAGGATACATCTATAAGTTAAATAACATTCTCAAAGGGAAGCATGACTCAAGAAAAGTTAAGAACCACTGATCTAAAGAACCAAACTGTTTATATCCTTCAGGCAACTCTCCATAAGCAGTTTCTCTTCTGAGCTTCTGAGAAGTGCTGAGCCTGAAGACTGCAGCCCCTGACAAGCACCTGGAGTACAGTTTCTCTCTGATGTGAAGTATGGAACTCTTAAGTTTTAACCATTGGCCAAGCTGTGTGTCAACTGTCAAGATATATGACCTTTAATATGATACTGTCCATAAGCATATGGAGCACATAACAATCCATTTTCCTTGATAGGTTTCAGCCATGAACACTGACAAAGCTTCCTCAAAGGACTGGTTATATTTCTTTCAAATAGTATAAAAAGTAAAAACAAACAAAAACCCACCTATTGCCTGTGGATAAAAATTACAGATAAGCACAAAAACAACCATTTTCCTAGATAAACATTATTTTTAAACTGTAAAATAACAACCTTTCCACATCAATTGACATTATCAGAGCTTTTTTTTTTTTTACCTTTTTGTTGTTTGAATCTTATGTTATACAACAAAACAATCACTGCCATAGCATCCGACACACACACACACATACACACACACACACACACACACACACACACACAGTCAACCATCCACCCATAGTATCGTGGATAGGATGTCTCAGGGATCCGAGAACCTCAAGTGAGGAAGGTGACCTGTAGGACGATCAAGACAAGGCTCTCTGAGATCTCATATAACTAGAAAAAGTCACAGCCATCAAATCTGGTCCTCAGCATAACAAATACAGAGACATATCTTTGTCAAAGAATCTGCAGTTGAATAGGCTCAAGAGAACTAACTCAAGCTAACCCAATTCATAAGAGGCTGAAGTACAAATCAGAATACCAATTTATTAATTATAGAGAATATTCCTTTTCACCAATCAGAAAATGTGCACCTGAAGCCAAGATGCTACTCTCTCAGTGTCCAGAGACCTAGAATCCTGAATTAGTAATCAGAAGTTCACCATAAGTTAGACAAAGAGAGATAGAGAGCATAGAAGATACCTAATGAATTATCCTTGCCCAAAACACATCTTTCTAGTAATCAAAGTTGTTTCTCCCACAGATACAGTCTCTCTCCCTTGGATAATGCCACTCCAACAGACTTAATGGTCCCTGAGCTTTCTTCTTTCACATCTTCCTCTTCACTAAGTACTTCTCTAAGTAGAGTATAATACAACTGATCATGGTGCACCTTGCATGCATTATTTATCTCTATTTTTTAGATAATAAACTCCCAGATCAAGCTGCTTAAGCAATTTGGCCAAGGTCACAGCTCGTATAAGGCACACCAGAAATTCAAAGCCAGATCTAAAGCCAAAGCGTAACTTTCAATATTGCAGTAAATGATGCCTTCAAAGTGTTTTCCCCTGGACTTCTCCCCTCTGAATCTGATCTAAATGTCCCTCTTCTGTGTCCCCATAACACCCTCAGCACACCATATCTTCAGGGTGCTATCTATCTAGGTAAATATGCAAAGCAATTTGTCCAGTCGTTTAACTTAAAGATCAACAAACCAAAGACCTTGAACTAGGCATGTAGCCTTAGGAAGGTCACAACCTCTCCAGCAATGAGCATCTCATCTAAAAAATGGGATAAAATGGATATACAAGAATGAAATGAACATACAAGGCTATACAAGGTCCCTTCTGGATATGAAAAGCACTATTGTAGACAGGCCCTGGTTTTTTTATGGCCTATCATATCAAGTGTAAATTATTTGGAAAAAAGTTAAACTCCTCAAAAACAGTATATAGATAAATAATAGAGTTCAGAAAAAACTTCCTCTTTTCTGAAAGGAGATAAATATCATCTATACCAAAATCAAACAGTAGCACCCCCCTCTGGTGAGGTGCTAAAGGTGTTATGCTAAAGGAGCTAAACAACACAAAAGACAAGAATTAGACGGTGGGATTTTCTCTGGATGATATATAAAGAAAAAGCAAAAGAGAAACTACCTGCCATTATTTGTTATTATCACATTCCCAATAGCAATTAAATGACTCCTTTTATAGCACTTTCCTTATTTTGCCCTAAAACAAAGCCAAAAACAAAAAAATGGCTGTACACAGTAGGAGGTTATAGAGGGAACAATTATTCTATTTTTAAGGGTACTGATATTAATTATTTTGCAAACAGCAAGCTTTCTAATGTAAGGCACGATGAAAAGCATTTCATGGTTTGGCTAACAGATCTTTTCATTTATTACTTCAAAAATTTAATGAAAAGCCATGTAAATATAAAATACTCTTGGTAAAATAAAAGCATTTATCACATCCCTTTTCTGAATGGTACATTTACCACAAGATAGTACTGGAAATTTTCAACCTGAAACCTATTTGGGTCTGCAACTTTCAGGCTTTGGAATATCAAAAGAAAAAAATTTTTAAACCACCCAATCACTTACACGTGCAGGCTCAAAACATGCCAATACATCATAACCAGACAACCACAGCCCAAAGTTTCACAACATTAATATTACATCCAGACCTTTAAATTATTTAAATTATTTTTTTATTAAAAATAAAACTGCATCCTAAGACCAGAAGTAAATTATCATCAGTCAACAATGATGGAAAATGAAAATACAAACATTCTCACTCAAGCCAAGAAAACAAATCAGTTAGTATACTAACAACCTTATCATTCACGTACGTTTTTGCCCAAGTATTCGGCAAGGAAGTCTCTTTCCTCTATTAACTTGACATCTTTCACCTAACTGTGCGAGAGAAGAACTCCACACTACACAAGAGGCTACAAAATTACAACCAGTGAGAAAATTTCACTCTGAAAGACAATATAAAAAGGGCTAGGGTGGATGGAAAATAAAAACTGATTTCAGTTCTACCAAATAATTTTCCCTACTAAGTTTGTCTGTCATTCTTGGCAAAGTTGGTTCTACAAAGCAGGTAGATACAGTATCATGGAAAGATTAGCAGAGTGGTGGGTGGAGAATGCAGATTAGATAACCAAGTGAAAGCTTTCTCAGTGTTCACCCAAAACAAAGGCCGAAGAAGCAAGTGCTTGAAAGAGAGTGACATTTTCTACAGTTCCCTACAGCACACCCACAGACCAGAGGTCAGAGAAGAGAGTTAGGGGTAAGTTGGATGGGAGTGGGGGGGGGGGGGGGGGGGGGGGGAGGGAATGATGAGAGTAAGAAGGGTACCAGTAAAAGTAAAAAAGTATGCTGCCAACAAGAAAAGGGGGGGGGGGAGAGTATGCAGCAATGAAATTGTCACAAACTGCCAAAATGAAACAGATGGAGTGACTGGCGTGGTGCTCTTTGGAGTATAGCGCTGGAGCCACATTTACCACTCACTTTGCTTGGCCCGGTGACCAGAGCCAAGCAGAACCAACCCTCGCCTGACCTCCAGGAAACCTGAGACCCAGTGCGTGCGCAACCCAGAGCCGCAGAAATGTGGGAGAGGGACCTGAACCGGCCTCTAGCCCCATCTTCTGCTCCCAGATGAACCCTAAACAAAGGAGTCTAGAAACAGAGAGACGTCTGCGCTCCCATTCCAGCCAGGGTGCAGGGATGAAGACGGGGTACCGCTTCCTCTGCGGGCACGGCCACCTCTGCACAGGCCAAGGGCATCTCAGTTCCGCGACGCGATCCAGCTAAAAACAAGCGGCCTAAAAACAAGGCACTCCTGTCAACTGGCCCGGCTGCACTCGCAAAGTTGATGGAGTTGGTAAGAAGCGCAGAGCTGCCCCTTGGGTTCCCCTCTAGAACGAAGGTGATGGGAAGGAGCCATAGCTTTCCTTCACCCTCATTGAGCCCCACTCTGCTCTGCAGATTTAGTCTCTCCCTAACGGGGCATCAAAGACAGCCTTCCTTCTTTGTGCCTAGTTCAGCCTCAAACCCTAGAACAGGTGCACTGAGGCCCGGGGCCAAAGTTCGCTGGAGATACTACTAATTCTCCCCAGCAAAACTAGCACAGTCATTTGCTGGGTTCCGGCCTTAGGGCACCTCATATTAAAGGGCACGGAATATGCTGTGAATGACCCCCCTCCGCTAAATTGGACCCTCAGCCCCACGCGGCCTGGACCCAGCAGTGTTTTTGTGAACTTGAGCTGCATTTGGCCAGCTGGGCACCAGGTCATCACCACGCCCCTCGCACCCAGGTCCCACCCCGCCGCGCACACGACATCCTTTTGTTTACACACACACACACACACACACACACACACACATACACACAGCCCCGAGGAACTCCTACCTCGCCCCCGTGCCCGTCGAAGATCCCGAAGATGGACGGGTGCGTCTTGTTGGCCAGATCCGTAAGAACTTCGAACCGGTCCTCCATGTGGTCTCTCCGGCCCTGGATGGAGTACACGGCCACGTTGTGGCTCTTGAACTCCCAGGTCTTGGAAAACTCGGCCTCCAGCACGTCAAGCCCACCGAGCCGATCGTTCTGCATGATTTCGGCCACCTTGCCCTTCACCATCTTCACGGCGTCCCGGCTGGACTTGACGATGGTCTTCACCTCGTCGGTGTGGAAGAAGTAACTCCACAGCGCCAAGCTGATGCACAGCAGGAAAAGCGTCTCGGGTCTCAGCAAGAAGTAGCGCATGATGCGACCCAGCAGAGACAGCAAAGTCATTGTATCCTCTATCATTTATTATCGCTACAGCCCCAACCACCAGCAGCGACGCGCGCCCGGAAGGCTCGCCGGGTCCCGGAGCACTGCGGGGACAGCCCGCGGGGAGAGAGGCGGAGCAGCGGCCGAGACTGGGGGGAGGAGGCGCACGGAGCCGGGCGGGAGGCAGACAAGCAGGCTGCTCCGAGCGAGGCCGCGGGTGCCCCGCTTGGGCGAGAGGAATCAAGTTAAAGTTGCCCCGGGCAAGTCCGCCGCGGAGAGCGGGAGAGTTCCGAGACGCCGACGCCCGCGCGGCCCCTCCGCGGGTGCCCCCTCGAGGCTCCGGGGAGCGATCAGCAGGTGAGGAGGCGCAGGGCTCGAGAGCCCGGCGGGAGAGGGATGCACGTTCCCTCCGTCGCCGCTGAAGGCGAGCGCGGAGACGGCCGACCGCTCCGATTCCTTCACGCACCCGTGGGGGCCCCAGAGAATAAAAGTTTTGCGGGAGCCTGGGCAGAGGCGGGAGTACGTGGAGCCTGCGGCACAATCGGCGCTGAGCCGCAGGCTGCCGGCCAGGCTCTGCCTGCCTGTCCCCGCACCTCCCGGCTCCGCTCGTCTTCGCTGGCGCGCTCCCTCCAAGCTCCCCGGCTCGCCCCCGCCCCCCCCCCCCCCCCCCCCCCCCCCCCCCCCC